AGAGAGAGAGAGAGAGAGAGAGAGAAAAGAAAAGATTTCCATAATTTGTTACTAAGAAGTCTTATTCTTTTTGGTACACATACATTGTATTTGATTTATTAGCATTGGAATTCATCGCATCCCCGCTTCAGTCAAACATGAGCTAATAATATATTTGACAATACTTGGGGCCTGGGGGAGTTTTTTATTATTATTATTATTTTTTCCTGAAACTTGGGGAGTGGTTTACAATTGAGTAAATGTGTAGCTGTTTACAATTTGAGTAAATGTACATATGTAATTGGTTTGGATTATGCTTTCAGAATCTCATCATCAATCTTGTCGTTTTTCTTGTTTCTGTTGAGGGATATCTGGTACTGCTGAAGTCCACAGAAGATAACACACTATCTATTCAAGAGTCAAGACTACACAAGCTACAAATTCGAGATCAGAGCAAAAAATAATAATAATAATAAGAAAAAGAAAAAAGAAAAGATACAAATTCAAGAGTAAGATTTTTTGCAAGAGATTTGGGAATCTTATGGTGGAGCAAGCTATTGTTTCACTAGTAAAGTCCATATTAAAATTTTACAGTGCAACACAGAACTATTTTTACTACAAATCTGACCATCAAAAAATTAATCTAACTATAAAAACACTTACTCATGGTGGAGTAAAATAGTATGTTACTGGGAAGACTACGAGAGATTTTGGGTAATAACAATATTTGGGCAAAACAATCTTCTTGAGAAATCTACTGCTTGAATTTGTTTGCTTAGCTGAGTTTCGTTGGCTTGTCTTTTTTGTTTTCTTTGTTGGACAAAAAGTCTCAATAGGACACTTTAAAAGGACCACATATTAGGGACTCCTTTCCGTTTTGATACTGAAGGGAATCTCACTGTGGTCCTTTGGATATAAAACAATCCTTTCATAACAACCTGATAATACATGCATTTAACATATTGGTAGTACAACCAGAGTCAGTAAATTGCAGAAGGTCCTTAAAATGATCCAATTTCAATCACTGATAATGCAATATTTGACACTTTTTTCCCAACAAGCAAATGAAGCAATAATGTACGTTAAATAATACCCAAATCAGTTATCCTCCCCTCTGTCCAAAACATTGAATCCAAAGTTTTAGCTCCCTCTCGTGAAGCGGTAAACAATATGACGTCTCCTATAAATTTTAATCCACTTTTTGGGTGCATTTATAGTAGAGACGGTTACTTACCCCACTAGTAGAAATTATTTTCTAACCGTTAAATTATTTTTTCCAAGATCTGCAGTAGGAGTAGTTGCTATAAATTTTTATCGCGGACACTGAAAGTTAAAAAACGAAATTAACAGTTAAAAACAATAATACCTGCCGACCGAGCAAAATAGCCTTCTACATTCCCTTTTTTGGGCATAAATTGGTTTCATGCAATATGCAAAATCGTAATAAAAGCCTGTCGTTCAAGCTTTAATTCACTTCAAATCCCCAGTTATATACTTTGAAGCATTTCATTTTACAAATAGTTCCTTTCAGTAGACATACATCAAGGACGGAGAGAGTGGAAAACCAAAATAAGTAGCAAGACAAACCCCTAACTACTGTAAAAAAAAAAAAAAAAAAAAAAAAAAAAAAAAAAAAAAAAAAACCCCCAACAACGTAAAAAAAAAAAAAAAAAAAAAAAAAAAAAAAAAAAAAAAAAAAGAAAAAGAAAAAGAAAAAGAAAAAGAGTAGGGCTTTAATTTAGCTGTCTGTTAAGGTACTAGTAATGAAACATGTAATTAGAATGAAAGTGAAATAGAAAAAAAATGAATCTCGCTGATCTGGTGAATCCCTGAATGGATACTTGAAGTACAAAGATAACGACTCTAACACACTTTGCAACTCCTTCTACAGTACCCAGGAAGCTCCGGAGATCCAACCATGTATTCCCGGTTCTTGTTGCATTCTCCAAGGGCAGCCCATCTCTCGCAGCTCTCATTCTGGTCTGTACATTTTCCGCCAGCAGACAAGTCTTTGTCAAATGAGTCCACATGAATCCACTTTGTTGCTGACCATTTCTCACCCTCAATCACTGGACACCCTGCATGGAGACTGATTGTGTCTGGGACCGCCGTTGGGAGGAGACTGAAGAAAAGAAGGGCATCCCCTCGTCGTGGTTTGACTGTATAATTACACGGTGAGAAAGAATAAGAAAGAATCAAGTCCGAGAAAATACAATGGCTTACCTGCAATTCCTTTCTTCGCACACTCAGAGAGATCATCGTCTGTTGTGGAAGCCTTGTGATGGTGAGATTCCTGAGGGCGGTTTGGAATGTTAATGAATGCAATAGTAGGATAAGCTACATGAAGAAATAACGCTGACAAACATTTCTCTGTGGCAAAGGAAGAGAGAAGGAAAGCAAATAAATAGTTGAACACTTGATAAAATCGTCCGATATTGGTTTTTTATCCAACGATTTTGCCTAAGACAAGGAAATCTAGAATGGAAAGACTGTCAGTCATGTGATTGAACCATTCAGCCCCAAATGGGACAGTGCACAGAAAATGTCGAGAGGCAGAATTAATTAGAAATGAGACAACACTTTGAAGCCTATTATAGAGACCATCTACCAATAAAGGTACAAAGGCTATCATGTAAGTGCCCGTGATTATGAATCAGGAGAAAACCTTTACTAACCTCTGCTGAAGGGAACACTGTTTCACCACCCTTCACCACATCAGTTAGATACATGAGCACAGTTGCTATGCGGTGTCCACCCCGAGCAATATTGACTTTATCAGCAAAGTAATCATAGTGAGGGTCATATTTCTGGCCATGTTCATATCTCAGTACTTGCATATCTTCTCCATTTTCTGAGAAAAATGAAAAAGTTAGTCCTTGATTATCATCACATTACATATTAGATACATTAATAGGAAAATCACCATATCATCAAATTATACTAGGCGAATAAACACCCTCCTTTGTAAATTCAGCTTGCCAGATTGAGCTCATAATAATACTGTCAAAAACCCTTGGTATTTTACGTCATTGCTTGAGACAATTTATCTTTGACATCTACTCTACATTCTTTGTCACGCCACAATACAGCAGTACCTTTATAACATCACAACCAGAATCTCCACGTAAAGCTTTTACTACTTTTCTTATCTAGACTTTTTCTAAGCTCATTCCCACAAAATCCGTGCATCCCAGAAGAAATGAAGGTTCAGTGAAAAATATGTCATACTCCAGCTACCAAAGGAGTGCTATAAAAAACAGCTTTTACTACTGTTCCAGATGCCAATGAATGAAATGGTCAATAACAAGAGTAGAAACAAGCTACACTCTTATTTTATGGCTAGGCAAGAGCCGCAAGTATGTTAGCAAGAAGGCAAACTAATTCATCACAAGCATTGGAAGTAAAGAAGGCAATCCCGGTCTGAGAGTGGACGATAGAGACACTAAACTTAATAAGATGGAAAAAAAAAATCATAAGATTAATGTCTCTAGAAAAAGCATACCTTTAGGAAGAAAGGTCCAAGTTGAAATCTTATCTTCTATACCAGCAACAATAGGATCCTAGAGATAGATTTGAACATGTAAAGTCAGATACAAATAACTTAAAGAACAGAAATTACAAAGTAAAGTGAATTCTTCACTGCATATCAAGCATCCGTATCCTCACTCACACAACACAGCTATAGCTCTCATTCCCCCAATTTCAAAATTTAAAATCCTGGAGCACTATGTTAGAACAAACAGAAAATTTCCCAATTCTTTCCTTTTCTAAAATCCAAGACTTCGGAAACCAGTTAAGGAGCTCAAAAATGCGCAAAAACATAGCTCTATGATCAATTCAACAATGCAGAAGACTGTATTGCACATTTTATATGAAATCAATCACAATAAAAAGCAAGAGTCAAAAACACACAAAACAGGGAAGATCATAGAGACATATAATGGCATAAATGAAAATTACAAGCAATATAAAGGAATAACCTTGGCCTTAGGGATGAACATGCCGGAGCTGGTACGGACTTCGCTCAGCTTGCTCTTTCCAGAAACATTATCCGCCACTGCCGATCTTTTCAGCTCTGATTTGGCCTAAATTCAACCAAAAAAATGCCCAAAAAAAAGGGTCAAATATCAAGAAAACAATTCAGTAGAATTCAAACATTTTGAAGATCACAATCAATGGAATCGATCAACGGTGCTCACCAGGGAGATCAAATGGTCGCACTCCAAGTCCGTGAGAAATCCTTCGTACACGAAAGCTCTGCAATTGATCAATCCGATTCATCTCACAAAACTAAAAAAAAATACACAGGAGAGAGAGAGAGAGAGAGAGAGAGAGAGAGAGAGAGAGAGAGAGAGAGAGAGAGACCGTGGTTTCCATGAAACCTGTTTGACTTTGGAAGGATTGATGATGGAAGCCGCCGAACCAGCATAAGAACTCGACGATTCATGGAAGCTCGAAGAGATCGAGAGCAGAAAGAGGAACAGCTGAACCCAAAGCTTACTCATTTTAGCTCCAGAAACACTAAACATGGAGAGAAAAGAAAGATATTTTCCCGAGAAAAGAAAGATACTTTCCCGGAAAATCTCAAATTTTGAAGGAAAGTGTCAATTGCTTTCTATTTCTCCCCTTTTTTTTTTCTTCGTATTATTAGCGTTGACAAACGACGTTGAGGGAGCAAAAAGTTCATCTGGAGAAAGTAAACGGCGCCGTTCAGCTTAAAACACCGACTTCAAAGTGCAAACGACAAGAGAGGACAAAATATGGAAACGACAGCAACTAAATAAACGACGAGAAATAGGAACGACAGTGGATAACAAACGATTTTGAAAATAAAGAGACGGAAATATGAAACACGACAATATAAATAAAACGACAGAAAAGTGAAAAAGAACGACTAATTGGAAACAACAGTAATAAATATGACAACAAATGAGTAAACGACACTAAAGGAAACCACCACAAGAAAAAAAAAATGAAAAGACGGGAAAAAAAAGCGTAAAAATGACAAAGAAATTTAAAAAAAAAAAAAAAAAAACAGGAACGACAAAGGAAACAAACGATAGGAGGGGGTCGGGGCGGGCGCATGAAAGGACATCAAGTAAAGTCCAAACAACAACAATGAAGAAAGTGAAAACTAACAGAAAACGACACTGAAAGTTCTACGAAGTAAATGGCAGCAAATAATGAAATACCGACAAAAAATAAACGATAACAAAAATGTATTGAACGAGAAATGAGAACGAAATGGGAAAAACGACAACGAAAAAGGAAGCAAAAAAGAAAAGGGAAAAGGACAATGAAATTGAAGGTCAATGGAAGAAGAACGGCAGAAACATAAAGAAGGACAAGAAGTAAGAAAACATCGACGAAGACTAGCAAAAAATGAAGCAAAAGAAGCATGAGGAACGATATCACAAGGAAAGAAACGACAAGATAATAAAGCCAATCAGGGGAAAACGACAAAAAAATATGTGACGTCATTCAGTGAAACGACATCAAATTAGAAATGGACGACAACAAATAACGACTCAAAGACGAACAGCATTTGAATAGAATATGGTTGCGTTTTCTTTTTCGTCCCACTTCTAGTGTGTTTTAATTAGAACCATATTGTATACTATTATAACTAATCATATATTTACATATTGGCTCTGAGATTCGTCAATTATGGCAAGGGTCCCACACAGACTTATACGATTTCTATTCTCTCTAATGGGTTAAAAAACCAGCATTCGCGTTGGAGATGGTCTTGGTAGAATCTGTCTTCTAACTTGTTCATTTTTCTGGTATTAATGTTTTGACTACCTATTTCTAAAGGCCTAATACGTTGGACGAATTTTCTAGTTTTCATTTGATCTCACTGCAAAGTACTGTCCAAGAGGTGATGGCTCAAGTATACACCTAAAATTCCACATTTGGAATCCGTTTAAAAAAAAAAAAAAAAAAAAAAAAAAAAAAATTATTAGAAAAAGATGGCTTCATTTTGTCAAACTTGTAAAGAAATTAGAAAGAGAGCAAAACTAACAATATCAGAGAAATTATCACCTATTAAATATTAGCCCTTTCCCATTTATGACAAATCAAAAAAATGGAAGTTTCAGGAAGTACTCAATCTAAGCATATTAGTTTTCCTATTCTTCATTCACATTTTGACTGCACTAAAATCATGTCAATAAGGTTCAAACATGTGTTAACTTCCTTGATCTTCTTCCACTTTGCAATGTTCGCCACCAAACTTCTATTGACTCCTAGTGTTTTTGGGACTTTATCACTGCCAACATGTACTTAGACATCATCCTTGGAGGGTCCTAAAACAGTCTCCATATGCCGATCGAGATCGTTCAAATATTTCGTTGAGTTGTACTCTTCTGCGTCGAAGAGCTCCTCTGAATATGTCCTTCGGAGTTTAGACTTCTGCCGTTGTTTCACTAGCTCCAAACTGCCTCCATCACCTTTAAGAATTTGGACAACCTGCAATGGAATGTGAACTCCTAATCAGTCTCTATATTGATAACTTTAGTATGTTGGATCACAAGGCTCATCCATGTCATTTCATGCAAAATCGGAAGTTTTTATAGACCTGGCTCATTTGGGGTCTACTGACAGATGACTGATGGATACACATAGAAGCTGTCAAGACTACGCGGCTCATTTGTTCTACGTCGTAGGCATTGCTGAGGCAAGGATCTACAAGCTCCTTGAAACTAGTCTTGGAGAGCAAGGGTTTGGCCTGAAACAAGTTGTTCAATAAAGATTGGATTCACATTATGAACACGCAAAGGAAAAGTTGCAAAATACAGAAGTGTACATACCCACATCACAAGGCTTTTCTGCGAGCTGTCCAAAGCTTGGCGTCCTGTTATGAGCTCTAAGAGTAGTACCCCGTAAGCATAGACATCGGTTTTCTCGTCCACTATGCCGTGCATGAAGAACTCGGGAGGAAGGTAACTGTCATGATTGGTGAGAAAGTAGGAAATTAGAGGTTTAACCAGAAATGAAGGTTAAGAGAGAAAAAAAAAAAAAAAAAACTTTGGATATCAGATATACAAACCCGAATGTGCCTTCAAATTTCGATACTATATGGTGAGTCCATTGATCTGGTAGCCACTTAGCCAGTCCAAAATCAGATATCTGGAACCAATTGACAGTTACACATCAAATTGCAAGACTAAGTATGTGGGTCAATATATATGGACATCATGGACGAGCATTGGTACCTGAGGTTCAAAATCCTCTGAAAGTAATATATTAGAAGCCTTAATATCTTTGTGGATAATTCTCCTTTGACATCCCTCATGAAGATACAGAAGGCCTTCTGCAGTCCCTAAAACAACTTTGTATCTGATTCCCCAGTCCAGTTTCTCCCTTGGACCTGTTTATATGAAGAGAATGACACTCTACAATTTGAGCTTTAAAACTTGTTAAAACATTTTGAAACTTGAAAAGGTTCATGGTGATGAACAAACCATAAAGAATAGATGAAAGGCTCCCATTGGGAGATAGATCAAGAACAAGGTGCATTCCTCCTTCAACCCCGTATCCAATAAGTTTGGCTAGATTGGGATGGTCAACATGGACAATAATCCCAAGCTCAGACAAGAAATCTGCTGTCATTTCTTCTTGGGCTCCTCTTGTCAGACGCTTAACCGCAATGAGTTGCCTGTTTTGCAATTCCCCCTTGTAAACTTCAGCATAGCCGCCCTCACCAATCAAATTCTCTTCACAAATAAACAAAGGAACAATGTAGAACTTTGGCTAAAAAGAAAAAAAAACCAATCAAAATCACTCTACATTTTGAAGGGTATAGGACAGACCTTGGCTGAAATTGTTGGTTGCAATTTGGAGCTCAGACAGTGTGAAATTCTTCCAGGAAGGCTTAAAGCAGTATAGTTCAGCATCTAAAGAAGTCAAAGGTGGGACCATATCCTCTCTTATTCTCTTGCTCTTTCTTCTAGTAAGTTTTGGGAAGGTCTGGAACTTGATTTGTGGCCCCTTTTTAAGTAGACGGAAGAAGCCCCGCCAATGAGTGGCTGCTCGGTCATCTGAGCCTGAAGTGCTTGCTTTTGCCGAAGCTCTTTCACAATCCAGGCTTCTTGGACAGTCCTCATAACCTCCTATTTGACATGACTTATGTATTTCTACCTCTTCCTCTGCAGCCTCCTCCATGTCTAATGATCTCAAGTCTAACACATAGTAAAGCAAGAAGAAAAGAAAAGGTCAATTGACAATACCATTTGGAGGATTTTGCAGGGAAAAAGACTACTGGTAAGACTCGGTTTTGAATCGTCAGATCATATCAGTTAGATTAAGAAAAGTATAACAGCTTATCGGAACTTGATGAAAATCTGATGATGCAAAACTGTGTTTATCAGCCTCGGTTTTTTTCCTTATCCTATCAAAAAAATTCGCTAAATTTATTTTCAATAAACTCAACATCACTTGATTCTACAATGACATTAAAATCTAAGTTCAACAACCTATATGCCTCGGAATTGTCTGCATATCACACGAAAACACTTTTAATTCCTCTTGTTCCTAAGTTTGATGATTCAGGGTCATGCACCCTATAAAAGGCTAAACAACCCCATACCCGAACCAGTATGCAAGAACCTTAAGAAATACTAATCTCAAGAGTCAAATAATATTAAATGTTTACATTACCCTGACTTGAAAAGGAGTTAGAGAACCCAGATCTTTGCCTTCTACTTCTGGCATAAGTAGATTCCCCTTCCTGCTTCTGTTTGGCGACATTGCGCGAACCATTGCTACCCATAACAATCCACAAAAGTGTCAACAAATAACAGAAAATTTTGAAAAAGAGAAAAGGGCATATTCAAACAAGTTATGACAAGAGAGGAATTTATAAGAACAAAGGGCCAAAAAGGTATAGAAGAAATATCTCACAATAACACCAAAAGGGTTGCAAAATAACCATTGAAATATCCTCCATAAGTGAAAAAAAAAGGGAATAAATTCAAATATAAAACAAGGAAAGAAAGACCCTACTCCCATGAAAAGCGACAATGTCTAAATACTCGTTTTTGTTCTTATTCCTCAACGCTTAAATGTGAAGCTCATGGGGTGAAAGATAAAACCAGCCAATTGGAAGCGAAATAACTTGGAAACCAAGAATGTCCATTCAACACCAATCTGTTATAAAAACAAGTTCTCATTTTCACCTATCATAGGCATTGTGTAAGAAGAGAAAAATTTTCTGCCACATTTTGGCAAACACGTTTAGAATGGAGAGACTAGATTTGTAATATAATACATAGATATACATATACATATATTTACACACACACACACACACACACACATATATAGATAGAGATAGAGAGAGCATGAGATATTACTTCATGGAGATACGAAATCCGCCAAGTGCAGAAGCAAAGAGCTGAAAAGGATTCATCCATTAAAAGAGGAGGAGAAAAGGAGGTAGAAATATCATGACCAAGAAGAAGATGAATGCTGTGGGACATCTTCCATAAATTTTCAAAGTTTGCCAAAGCAGATAGGCCTCAAATCCAAAAGGGTAGTCAAAGGAAATGACAGATACGACACATACACAGAGAGAACTGGCAGAGACCAAAACCACCGGTTGGGATGATTTTTCTCTCCTCATTAATAATGTGTTTGTTTCCCAATTCTCCGAATTTGCATGCTAATTATTCGGTGTTTTTGTCCCATTATTACTTGTTAATCTATCTGTTTTTTTTTTTTTTAAATTTATTTTCTAAAATGCCTAGCTTTATGTTGAATTATCTTTAAAAGAATTATGATCATAAATTTAGTATGTTTAAAGGGACGTGTTGTATCAATTTTGCTTGTGAGCAAGCACGTAGTTTTGGAGCTCTTCCTCTTCCTTCTGGGTATTTTGACACGTGGAATTAACGACCAACGGTTTGACAACAGGTTGTTCAGTTTCAGCAAATTTGATATTCTCCGGCCAATAATTGATTTGTGCAAGAATTGTGAAGATAATGAAAATGGAAAAGTAGCCGCGTCATCATGAATCATGATTTAGATCTTAGCTTGTATCACTCAATTTGTGGAGGGTCACTAATCTTAAATTATGAATATATAGGAGCTTAATCGACGGCTAATAGATAGTTTTAAGCAATTGGGTCCCACGGGTATTTTACAAGAATTGCCAAAAGCCTTTCTTCATGATGAGGAAAGCATCTTTTTGAGCTAGAGAAAAATGGGCTAATTTATTTTAAGACAGTTCATGTTTAGCAAGGTATATAAATAATTCTATGATTAGTTCTTATGATGAAAGCAATCATAAACCATTTCAATATAATTCCTAGAGAAAAAAGGTGAAGAAAAAAAGAAGAAGAAAATGTTGACATGATTATTACTTCAGTTAGTTAAGAGAGAATTTATAATTTGCCACTCAGAAGTATGAGAACAAGTCGTAATTTATCAGCATTGACAAACACATTTATTAGCTCCAACACGTACGAGTGAGGGATTTCAAAGAATGATTTCATTACATTATTTAGTTTTAATAATTACACCAAAAACTGATCACGGTGAGAAACTCATGTTACAAACTATGGTTGTGGTCCAATCGAGACATTTCAGTGGATATTGCGTGTTATCAACCCCTCAAATATAACATAGAGGTCCTTGTTATCTGGGCCAAAAATCTCACCAGCCTTTTGCAGAGTCTCCTGAAACGTTTTGTTGATATAAATAGTCAGACCAAGAAGTAAAAAGGGTATTAGGGAGTCTTTACTTTACGGTGGAACAAGCTATTTTGTTTCCCGATGAGATAAGTATTTTTTCTGTTAGATTAATTTTTTAAACGGTCAAATTTACAGTAAGAGAGTTTTGTGCAGCGCGCTGTAAATTTTTAATATAGACCTGCACAAATCTGACCGTTAAAAAATTAATTTAACGGTTGAAAACACTTGTCCCACCAGTAGAGCAAAATAACTTGCTCTACCGTAAAGATAACCTAAAACGAAGATAGATGGGTTGAAAATTACAGTACATCCCAAATTGAATTTACCATGTACTATAATTTTCAGCCACTAGATAATGGGAGAAATGATCTCAGTCGTTGAAAAGAAAATTATGAACTTTTAACTAATAATATCCTAACACAAATTATTATTCTATCAAGTCATTTAATGGTTGAAAATAAGCTGCATGGTACATCTCATCCGTAGCTTATTGAGAGAGAGAGAGAGAGAGACCTCTTTTGTCTGCTTGTGGGCATTGAGTTCCTTCACATTTGCAAGAAATGCACCAAACTGCTCATAAGACAAACGACCCCTGATGGCAACAAAAATAAGGAATCACAAGACGAAATAAGCATTTGATTAGCCAAGAAGCATATCCAAATTTGTGGATCACATAGCTGCAACGTATAAAATTCGTGTTTCAACTGTAGCGGCTAAAATCAGTATTTACCATTCTATCAAATAACAATGACAAGAACAGAAGCAAGGAAGAGAATTGACTATTGAGGATTTATGAATAGACAATAAGGCTGAGTATATAGTAACTTCTTCAGTGTCATTGCTTTACAAGATCACGGAACAAGAAATGCCTTGACATATACTCTACCACACATTTTTTTGTTGTTGTGTATCATTTTGTGGCACAGAACTTCCTGTTTTTGGTCAATCAAGAAAAGTTTTGTACCAAATTCATATCACAAACTCAATTTGCGCACTTTACCTGACTTGGCGAAAAAATTCTTTTCCATCAACCCGAGTTCTTCCTGAAATAGTTGAAACAAAAGGATTAATCACAGTATACCAATCCTCTGATAGACATGATTACGTAAATTGCTGTATTAGTTTTTACTAAAAGAAGGTTGTCAAGTCAAACTAACCAGTTTGAGATGCTGTCTCGGAGCCTGGAATTGATCCATAACCTGGAGGTACAGAAGAAAATACAGAAGACCTATCATCAAACACGCCTCTCGAGGTCGAAAATGACATAGCATGTCGCCTTGGGGACGCGGGTTTAGACATTCTTGTTGGAGAAACCGATGCAGAGAAACTAGGAGGGGATGCCGGAGGCGTGAACCGAGGTGTACTGGTCTGCGACGCCAAGAGGAGGCCAGGCGATACGCGAGGCCTCGTTGCTGCTATTGTAACAAGAAGCAGCAAGAAATCACATTTACTTTTGAAATTTAACACAAGACTTCTGAACTAAAATCCATAACCAAACTTAAAAATATAAACAAGTTCATACCATCTGTCTCCCTATCCTCTGCAAATGAATTCCCTACTTCTGAGGACTGGCTTCGAATTGAATATGATCTAGAATTTGCTAATGAGGCGTCATCTTCTGAAACAAAAGTGGACCCCAAAAAAAATCTCGATGAAATTCTAAACCAAAATTATCCTTCCACATACAGTAACATACCAACAATAGGAGGGAAATTTTTGGACAGATGAAAGGGCATTTATAACAAAGCATATTCAAACGGTCAAGTAAATCATTTCCTAAATAAGCTAAACAAGCTCAATCTTATTGCATTCATATTCAATTATTGGCCCACAAAAAACGTTTCCTTTTTAGTTTCCTTCAACAAAGTAGATTCCCATTGACATTAACAGGTAAATAATAAAAACACCCCTATATTTTATCAAAATGTTACGTTTTACCATGTTTTAAGGAATATTGTCCTTACCCCTTACATTTACAAATCATACTAAAATTGTACAATAATTTTTATAAATTTTTAACACGACTTGTAAAAAGTAGAGAACAAGTGCAGCATTTCTGTTAACGTGACGTAAAACGCAACATTTTACTAAAACACAGGGGAGGTTTTTGTTATTATCCCTTAAAATTGGGCAATTAAAATAAAGATAAAACCTTGTAATAAACTAAGGAATTAGCAGAAATTACCTCCAATCTGTGAGGCAGAAGACAAACGGGGTTGGGTTTGTATCTTAGCCACAACCTCTGGAGCTCCAACCTATGACAAAATATATATACACACATATACATATACATATATATATATATATTATTACACTCCATTGCTCAATTCAAGCCACAAACGAAATTAAACTAAGGAAAAAATATCCTAATTTTCATATAATCAATTAAAAAAAATGCTTACTGAATTGTCTTCATCCTCTTGGAGTGACTGCATGAGCGTCTTTCTGAACACCTCCAACTGTCAAAATCACAAAAAAAAAAACAAAAACAAAAAAACATAAGTCCAATTTTTCTCTTCAAGCAATTTTCTGTTATGCTTAACTGAAAATTCCAACTACCTTCGACACATCTCTGTTCAGCTTCTTCACTGCGTTGCTCAAATTCGCGTTCTCCTTCACCAAATTCTCCTACAATTAAAGAACAAAAAATAATAACTAAAAAAAATATATTTTTTATGGCTAATAATCTGGCAATTCGACCGGGAAAAGGCGGAATCGTGTCGGACCTTTTCTTGCTCGGCGGCGGCGAGCTTGTCTGCGGTGTCGGAGAGGGAGGCGTCGAGGGACTCAATCCGCGACCGGAGATCGGCGATGAGGTCCTCCTTCTCGGCGAGCTTCGCGCGCAAATCGGACGACTCTGATTCGAGGGCTGAGACACGTGTCGCGAGAGCAATGGACGTGATCTTGCGGGCCACATCGAGCTGCTCGAAAGGATCCGACGGCAGTACTTGCAGGACTTCCTCGGGAAGATCGAAGTTCGAACTACCCAATTCCTTCGCCAACATTTCTCTCTCTCTATTTCTCCTATTTCCCAAAAACTTTTTCACTTTCTAGTTTTTATTTATTTATTTTAAGAAACTTTTTTTTATTTAATTTATAGTTGACATGTTTAAAAAATATTTTTAATAGTAGCGTATGAAGTTGGAAATTAATATATACCCATTTAGTTTTTTTTTTTTTTTTGGAAAGAGAAAAAGGGACAAATGGTGGGGAAAAAGAATTGGGTGGATAGAGATTTGGCATAGGGGAAGTGAGTGTCGTTCATTTGTTTGGAAGAACATGTGGTTCATAAGAATTAAGAAGTTTCCTGAGTGGATAGAATAACAGACAAAACGACATGAGTTGTGTTCTCAAATCTAAAGGCTGTTCAACTTCAATCTCATCATCTTGCAAGTGTCGGTTGTTGGATTGGGTTGTGGAGATGGTTTTTGGGTCTGACTCACCTGGATAATGGGCCTAGGTCAAGCCCATCTGGGTCTACATTGTTTAGGGCCCATGTATGCATAATTGGTCAACAATAAAGGTCTGGTGATAGATGGATCCATAATCATAATTTTTAGATCATGATTCAGAATTATAATTCAGAATCATAATTCTAAATCCTGGTTTAGAATCAATATTTATTTATAGTGATTCTGAAATGATTCAGAATCTGATGTGGTATTTTAAACTAGCTTAAATCATGATTTTAAAACCACTCCCCTCTTGATTCAAGGTGATTCAAATCTCTAATTTTAAATCATGGTTTCAGAATCATGATTTAAATTCAAAATCATGATTCATGATTTTAGTTTCAGAATCATGATTAGAATCACCCTGATTTAAATCCCCGTACCAAACGAACTCTAAGGGGTTGTTTAGTACGAGGATTCAAACTAGGGTGATTTAAACATGATTCCAGAACCAGAATCACGATTCATAATTTTGAGTTAAAAAAATGATTCTAAAATCATGATTCAGAATCAAGGGTTTGAATCACCTTGAATCAAGAGGAGGGTGGTTTTAGAATCATGATTTGAGTTAGTTTAAAACATCGGACGTTTGGTTTATGTATTCAGAATCATGATTAAGAACCCTTCTCGTTTTACGTGTATTTTTTGTGAGAGAAAATACTGTAGAGAACCATGAATCATGATTCAGAATCAGGGACGAATATATGAAACAAACGTAATTCAGTGTAAACAAACACTGATTCTGAATCAAGATCCAGAATCATGATTCTGGATCCATCTACAAAGCGCACTATAGAGATCACTAGCCTAATTGATGATGCAATGTGAATGTGGTCGACTTGCCGGTGAGTCACATATATGTACTCTGCAGCACTTTGGTGATGTCGTTAAAATTCCTTATAACGTAAAGAATACCTACCTATACATCTTCACGAGATTACGTTAAATTTGTTATAAATTTGGGGATAAATAAAACTATTAGATGTTAATACAACAAAATATGTAGGTGTTTAGATGTATATATTGATAGAAGGAAGCAGAAATAGGACTTAAAACTTCTAAACAAAAGAAGAAATATGGAGAAAGATTAATACGGGAAGTTTTTGTTTATTAGCCAATATCATATACGGTACGTATATGTCTCTGTGTGTGTGTATAAATGATACAAATGAGTAAGCCTATTTATAGGCAATGAAGGAGTACATCGAATAAATGGTGTGAGGTAATAAGGAATTAGCCTTAATTACTGTAAATAAACTAATATAGATAATGGAGTATTAGTCATCCATTCGTGAGGCATCCACTTCCATTCTTCAACAAAATTATCATATTCTTTTAATTTGACGTAATTTTAAGGCTTGTTTTTTTGCATGACTTGATTTAAGTTGTGTATGCAAGAGAAAAACAGTGTAGTAAAAAAATTGAATTTAAACTTTTATGAGAAAAAACACACTAGTAATATGATTTTAATTATGAAATGGCATGCCCTTAATAAGTTCTAAAAATTTTGTATTATCGGTTGGGCACTGATTTATATGTCATCAATATGTTTTATGTTGTTTTATTAAAAGAATATGCATGTTTTATGATTTATAACACCGTTTTTATGAAATTACGTGAATAACATACAAGGTTTTTATTTTATTTTAAATTTCAGCATAAAATAGAAGCCAACGAAAGGAAAGGGCATTATTCATAATGTTTTGAAGTTTGATGTGTGAGTAGACTGATTTTTAAAGTTTGGAGAACAAACTGAAATTAGTTTCGCGTGAAAAACAAGCAAAAAAAAAATCATCTCTCCCTCTTCTTGTATGCCTCCATGTCTTCAGGGGTAACCTGAGGAATCCGAAATCATAAAATAATGAGAAAATTCCATATCAAAAGAAATTTCAGAATTTTGTGATGTTTCTTTACTAAAGAATGAAGGTAAAGTATAATCTACCTCATCAATGCATCTACTATTGTACTTGCTCCTCCTTTCATCTTTCTCTTTCTCTTTGCCTCTCACCCTCCTGTTCAGTGACAATAAAATTAAACAATTTCTGGAATCTTTCTTTAGACCCTTATTGGAATTGTACACATACACACACACATATATATATATATATATATATATGAAAGAAGAGTAAGTAATCAAAAGCTAAACAGTAAAGAGATCAGAGCTACCTCGTTTTCATGAGCGTTTTTGGCAAGTACTTCAGTTCACCACGCAGCAATCCTTTTCTTCTTAACTGGTGCAGATGTCTCTGTTTTACTATTTCTCTTCTTACCTGGTGCAGGTGTTCAACATGTATCAATGGAAAGCAGGAGGAAAATAACATACTGAAACTGAGCTAAGGAAAAACAATTTGACTCTGAAGATCGGGCAAGTCACAAACTAAAGAACCCCGTTGATGCTTATTTTTAACAAAGACAAAGATTCAAAGTACCATGCTGTTGGGGAGCTAGAATAACTAACCTTTTCTGGCCTTTTTCCGTGAAGTGTTGGCCCTCCGGAGATCTTTTGCAGCCTCAACAGTCTCAGTTCCAACAACACCTGTGTTGACGGTGAAAATTTACCAATAAAATAATAATGAATTTCTTTACGATTAATGTGAATAAAATGTTTGATGTTTTAAACTTGAAGCGTATTGCAGCCGTAATCTTGTGTGACTTTTTGAGCTTATTAGCATTATTCATGTCTGCTCTCATTTGTGGACCCATTCACGTAAACCTTTCATCTTGCTACCTCGACACTCTCTTTCTCCGTTATTGCTGGCCGGTGGGAAAATTTTGCCATAAAATCTGTCAAGGCTTGCTCTTTTATTTTAATCATTGGCGTGTACTCAATGTCAAACTGGCTCAACTCTACTAACTATTTTAGAAGTCGACCAGACGTGTCAGGCTTCTGCAGTACCCGCCTTAAAGGATGATTTGTCAACACCTTTATTATGTGCGCCTAGAAATAATGACGAAGTTTTCTTGACGTCACTATCAAGGCGAGTGCCAATTTCTCCATTTCTGGATATCTGGTCTCGGCATTTAAGAGTCGCTTGCTCATATAGTCTACTAGTAGCTGAGTCTTTCCTTCTTCCCTGACCAACACTAAGCTCACCGCATGTTCTGAAACGAAGAGGTAGAGGCTTAACTTCTATCCTGGGATCGCTTTCGAAAGGACTGGAGGTTTTCCAAAATGTTCCTTCAGCTTCTGAAAAGCCTCTTCACAATGTGGAGTCAACTCAAAATGTCTATTGCCCCTAATCGTGTCAAAGAAGGGCACACATTTGTCCGTTGCCTTGGATATGAACCTGTTTAAGGCGGTGAGGTGACACATCCTGTTAGCTTATGTACTTCCTTTGACTTTTTGGGAGACTCCATAGTGCCTTTATCTTTTCTTGGTTTACCTATATTCCTCTGTTGCTGACCATTAATCCAAGGAATTTTTCAGAGCCAACACCAGACGTACACTTTAAAAGGTTCAGCTTCATGTGATACTTTCTCAATATATCGAACATTTCTCTCAAATGCTTGACGTGTTGTTTGGCCCTTGCACTCTTCACTAACATGTCGTCAACATACATATCCATCATCTTCCCAATCTGCCTTGCAAACATTTTGTTGACAAATCTCTTATATGTAGCCCATGCATTCTTAAGATCAAAAAGCATTACCTTATAACAGTAGAGCCATCGATCTGTGATGAAGGAAGTGTGTTCTTCGTCAGCCGGATACATGGGGATCTGGTTATAGCCCGAGTAAGCGTCCATGAAGCTTAATAATTAATGCCCTGCCGTAGCGTTAACCAGTTAATCTATGCGTATAAGTAGAAAACTGTCCTTTGGGCATGCTTTATTTAGGTCGTTGAAGTTGACGCATGTTCTCCATTTCTCGTTGGGCTTTATAACCAACACAAGGTTTGAGATCCAATTTGGATAATGGGCTTCCCATATGAAGTCATTTTTTATCAACTCACCGATCTCTTCCTTCAAAACTTCATACCTTTCTGGGTTCATCGGTCGGCGCTTCTGGCATTTTGGCAGGAATAAAGGATTAATGTTTAAGTGGTGGCACATTATTTTGGGGTCGATCCCTTCCATATCATCGTATGTCCACGCGCACACGTCCAAGTTCTTCTTTAAGAACGTTCGAAGCTCTTCCTTCAGCGCTGGGGCAAAGTTGAACCTATCTTCAAAACCCTCGATGACTTTTTCTCAATTACTTAGATCTCATCCAATCTTTCCACCGGCTGGGATCCTGTAATTTCTTCATCTACCCTTGGGTTGATGTTTTCATCTATTGGCCCTTGACTGACCATCTGTATTTCTTGCCTCCTAGGGTCGTCGTACTCGTGTACAACATCTGAATATGCAACCCTCGACTCATACTGATTGAAGTTCATCTCTCCCACATCGTTAGGAGTCCGGAACTTGATTTTTTAATGGTAGATCGATGTGATAGCTTTTAGCACTTGAAGGGTCGGTCTCCCGATCACATCGTTATATTGTGATGCCCCTTTTACCACAACAAAGTTTGACATCACTATGGCTTGACGGGGTTTATCTCCCGCTGTAATGGGCAACTTGATCACCCTTTGAGGAATGATTGAATCTTCAGTA